TCTTATACACATCTAGATGTGTATAAGAGACAGCTCCCCCACCAATCAATCAATCAGTCAATCAATTAAAAAAAAAAAAAAAAAAAAAAATGAAAAAAATCGTTTTTTTTTTTCCGCCCCAAAATTATCCACCCCCCCTAAAAAAATCCCCAAATTCCACTCCCCCGTTTTTGAAGTTTTTATGTTTTTTTTTTTTGCGAGGGGTTAGGGGAGCCCCCCCTGACTCGAAACCCACTCCCCGCTCACAAAACCCCCTCCCCGATCGGCCACGGCCGCGGCCGAAAGTTCTCGGGCGGAGCGGCCGTGGCCGGGGGGGTCCCATCCACGGCCGCCGGCTGCGGCTACGACCGAACTCGGCCGCGGCCAGGGGGGAACATAGGTCCCAGGTAATCATGCGGAGAGTTCCCGCCATCATTTGAGAAACTCGCGGGGTTACATTAACCGTGGTTTGAAGGGTCAACCTTATAGGTACAACATAGGGCTTCCCTCCTATATTACGGAGGACAATCGATCAACTCTCGAAGTCCAGATTGGCTCGCAAGGCCACAAGGATGGGAACAACATTGGCCATCCGTCCAATCGTTTTAATCTTCTCTTCATCTACCGAAACGAGCTGATCTTTTTTCGTAAGCATGATTAGATCGTTCTTTCTCTCTTCCCTTTCAACTACCCGTAATGAGACAGCCAAAAAAACGGCTCCCGAATCAATAATAGCATTGCTCGGGACTCCCCATACCTCGATGTCGCACTCTACGGATTTCCAAGGGATTGGTTCAATTTGCAGGAAATTATCATCCTTTTGGATCAATCTTATTCGTATCGGGTATGAAGTACCAACAACGTTTTCATCTGGTATTGGACTTTTTGCTTTCGTGTTCGCTGTCCGGGCGAGGGCGAATCGTTTTCGATTCGCTTTGCAGTGTTGCAACATGCGTTCATTGATCTGTTCCGATATCGATAGCAGATGTCTGATCGGAAGAGGAATCCGATGATCTAGAGCTCACACGATATTCAGAACATCAATTTCTCCGGTGACGAAGATAGGTCCTCCCGACTCCATTTCCCCTGGGGAAGGTCGCCACTCCGCCATCTCCCTTTGTTCCGGCGCAGGTCTAATCATTCCAATCATCCCAAGCCCCGGATATCCGAGCATTACGTACTGATCCAACAGGATGAGTTCAGCAGCTTCCTCCATCGTAGCTAATGTGCTTCCACCCCCTTCCATTTCCTCCATTAGTGCCCCTACCCGTCCAGGTCCGTTAGCGATCGGGGCTACCGCTACCGGTGCGGCTCCGACTTGCGGCTGCGGAGGTCGATGGGGGCAATTTCGGGCTATGTGCCCTGGTTGATGGCAGGTGTATCAGACGTTCAGATTGCCAGGGATTCCTGCGGGAGGGGGTGCCGGAGCCAGTCCGTATTCAATCGGAGCGGCACGCACCGCTATTGGTCGCATCGACCTCATCATCGCTTCTATTCGAGGATTGTGTTTCCGCTATTCCTTTTTGCTTTCCTGAATTAAGTTGACAAGTGTTGTGGTTAGTTCCAATAGGTCAGAAGACTCGTTTGGCCGTGCGGGGCTTTCGATCGGAGGTGGGGGTGCCGTCATCATTGGGACGGGCATGCTTGTGACCACACTTGGAGTGGGTCGTTTGGGGGTAATCTGTTCTAGATAGGTGACCGGACCAGACACAAACCCCATGTTTTCGAACTTATTTTGCAATGCGGCCAGCTCAGCCTTAGCCCTTGCGAGTTCGGATGACTCTCCTTCCCTAGGATAATCTTCCCCTTCTAGGAAACTTGCGGCGAATTTTCATTCCATTTTCTCCGTGGCTGCCATGATCTGTTGCAGCATGTGATTGATGGGGGAGAACTGTTTTCGTTGTTTCGCCCTCATCGTTCTGTTGCAGAGCCCATCGATAAAAAAATCTCTCCCTACCTATTCGCCTCGTTTTGTTTTCACAAACATCCTGTAGAATCAACTTCGATACTCGGTGACAGATTCGAGAGGTTTTTGAACCCGGTCTTTAATCATGAAAAGGGCCTGTTCAGGGTGGATATAATCAAATCTGTTCGGAAAATCTCGCTCAAATGTCGAGAGATCGACCCATACATAGGTACTGAACCAATGATGAGCGTCTCCTCCCAATCGAGTGGGAATGTTCACCTGTGCCTCGTTATTATCGTATTGTTGAGCCCGGAGCGTGGCCAGCCATGCTCTAGCGGGATGATGTGCAGGATCAAACAGATAAAGATCAGGTGGCGTCATAGGAGCCTGTGCTCGTGGTGGGGGTTGATTAGGATTTATCGGTTGGTTGCGGTTCTGTTGTGGATTCGGGTTTTGTTGATTAGCTTTCATGTTGACTGTCCGTCGAGCCGCTGACCGGCTTCTGGTAACAACGGGGTCGCGTCGATGCGCGTTCGGGAGTCCAGGTCGTCCCCTGTTAACCAGATCGCTTAGTTTATCGTCCTACGAATCCTGTAACCCTGCCACATGTCGGGCTCCGATACCAACCTCACGCCCGCCGCGACTTCGTGATCGGAGTGGGATGTGGGCCTGAAGTGCTAAAAGGGTGTGCCAAGGATTTTTGGGGAAAGTGGGGGTGGAGTCCCAGGTCGGAACTTAGATCTCCTGTGGCAAGGGTTCGGAGGCATAGGTGCAATAGGACTAAGGGGCAGGTTACTTTCGGTCTGATGATGACGGTCGATGTTATGCAGCATAAGGCAAATGGCATGTGTGGTGCCTTAAGGACCCTCCGATCCGTCTGTTTCGGTGACGGCGGTTCGGGAGAGGCCCGTTTGTGAGGGTCACGATTCCTATGAGTTGGATCTTCGGGGGCAGACACGTGGCGTATGTCGCCATGCATTATAGTTAGGCTCCGTAGTTCTCGGGATTCGGCGATTGCCGCGTTGTTTGCAGTTTCTGCACGGCGTGCGGGGCCAATACGGGGCAATGGAATTCCACGGTACCACCGTGAGTTGGTGATACGGAAGGAGGAGACGGAAGGGAGGGAAATTGGTAGTGATGACGATAAAGCCAGGGGATATAAAGTATTGTGTGTTATACGTAGTTGGGTAGTCGGGGTACCTTGGATCGCTGGTTACGGCACAGTGAAACTCCTTGGGACACAATCGGTTCTCAGTTGGGCAGGAAAATTCAAGGCGTCTCCGCCTGAGATATTCTCTTACCCAAGGTTTGAAGTACCCTGAGTCCCCTAAGTCC